TTTCATTTATCCTTTAATAAGTACTCGCAGTGAACATGGCAAATCAGTCTCGGACAACAACTTTGACAAAAACAGCTCCGCTTTTTTCAAAAAAAAATTAATTGTTCCGAGAGATAAAAAGGAAAATATACAAAAGTTAGATCTAAGCAAAATAATAATAATAATAAGATAAATAAAATGAAATAAGATATTTCTATGTTAAAAGAAGAACTAACAAAATGCTGAAAGTATTTTTAATGGTAAGAAATGTTCTGGACCATTAAGTCGTATACATTTCTTACCATTACCACAAAAAAAAAATACAAACCTTCGTACTTGCACAACTGCCGGCTGTCCACCGGAGGCCTGCTGATAAACAGCCAGATGGTGAGGTTCCAGTCCAGAGCTCAGTGAGCAGCTCTCAACTTTTGGCAGAGCTAATTTGGACTCGTACTTCTCTGTAAATCAAAACCATTTTTTATTTTTAGAAACATCTTCAAGAGCCATTTTTTTCAAATTTTTACATTTTTCCGGTTTTATTTGTTTATTACAAAACTTAAGATAAAATTATTCCAACCTGACAAGGTACCATGAACCAAAAAAAACTTTCTTTTTGATTATAAATAAAATCACTTTTACCATAAAAATCATGAAAAATTACATTCCTCACAAACATTTCTGAAAACTCAATGATAAAGATGGATTCCAGCTCAACACAGAATGCTTCAAATTTATCGTTGCCAATATAAATTATGAAGCTTTCTTTTGAATCTAGCTTGAGCAGTGTGTCAATTTGCAAAAAATGGATTTGATAGATGATTTGAGGAAACCACTTTTTGCTGACGATGAACTCAATTTCGTTATTGTTTTCTTCTCCAGCGCCAAGCAAAATTGCATTATTATGCATTTTTTTTGGAGAGTCCGGTCCTTCATTATATTTCCAAAAGCTCTTAGAATGCCCGTATGATGTTCTATCGATTTTCTGAGCTTTTTCTCCGGTCCAAATTTCGACAGTGACTTATTAAGAAATCCGAACCTCACTTGGGCACACCATAATTATAAATATGAAAATGCTATGCTCATTAG